ATAAATTTAACTAACTATTCTATTATTGGGTCTTTTCTTCTCTTTTGCACTTTTTGCATTTATCTGATTGTTTTCTACCGCATTTTTTTTTTTTAATTGACTATTCTATTTTAAGCACTTATTCTTAAACTTTCCATCTTCATACCTGACTAATTCATTTTTTTAGGTTTTGTAGCAGCAAATTTCACTTTCATTTTATTTGTATATTTCTAATTTTATTATAGTACTAACCCAATTTTTTTAAAAAAAATTGATCGTGTCATCACTATAAACTTTTCTGAATTTGTATAAACATGATCCTTTTAATGAACTGGAGTTTAGAAGCACAATTATTTATATAAATAGTTTCATCTAATTATTTTAACTTGTATTTATAATTAAAACTATAAAATTAAACAATTAAAGTGTTTAAGAATCTTATTTTATTTTTTCAATTTATAATTCAACATAGTAAAAATGATATTAAAAAAATCCTAATTATTTTTAAAGTGTGTCACTTATTTGTAAATTTCGAAAGCCCTTCTTATAGTATATTAACTCAGTATTAGAGTGGCTGGGAAAATGCGATGTGCAAATATATACATATTTGGTCATGTTTTATATATATCATATGGGCACATATGTGTCGCTATATTTTTTTTTAAACTTTTAGCAATGATTTCTCAATGACTACTGGGTCAAATTCGGTAATTTTTATTTGATTTTAATCCTATAAACTTGTAGAATGTAAATAAAAAAAAATTATTGAAATTGGTCTGGTAGTTATCGAGAAATATTCGTATGAAATTTTTAAAAAATGTTAAACATCTTAGAAAAAAAAAGCCGCAATTGTATTTTTTTAAAACAATATAATTGTGGCTTTGATTTTCTAAGATGTTTGTCATTTTTTTAAAATTTCATATGAATATTTTTCGACAACTACCAGACCAATTTAATAATTTTTTTTTTATTTTCATTTTACAAGTTTATAGGATTAAAATAAAAAAAAAAATTACCGAATTTGACCCAGTAGTCATTGAGAAACTATTGCTAGAAGTTTTTAAAAAAATACAGCAGCACATATGTGCCCATATAATATACATAAAATGTGACCAAATATGTACATATTTGCACATCACATTTTCCTGGCCACTCTACTCAGTATGCACATATTCTATTGAATCTTTAAATTACTAGTACCAATACTGTATTAGAATATATTAATAGTTTTTGGTTGCAAAAAGTTTCATTAAAGATTTATCAAATTAGTTAAATTTATCATTTGTACGTACGCATAATGCATTGTTAATATATATCTTAAACACACAAAATATATTAATTACTGTATATTATATATCATTAATATATGTCTAAAACATATTAGTTTTATAAAATACAGTAGAACCAAAAATTATTTAAAAAACATTTTGTTTAATTTATTTTTTTACAATGTCATTAAGAGAGTGTTCATGCTGTAAAAAAGACAAAAAACCTGAAGAGTTTGGTATTAATAAAACGGATTATTTTAAAACATGCATATTATGTTGTCAAAAACTTGATTTACCTTCAGCAAAAAATTTACAAACCAATAATAATTCGGATAATAATGAGCATGTTGAGCACGAAATTTTATTAGATGATACTGTTGATTTAGATAATTTAGAAGATTATATTTTGACTGAACTTGAGGCATGTGAAAATAATTTAAACGGAATTGAAATCAATATTCGTGTTGTTTTACCAAGTAAGAAATTTAATAATAATGAAATAGATCTTATTTTTCAAGAAGTTATTAAAATTATTCAAGCTGCTAATGGATATAAATGGAATTATCTACGTTAATACAATAATGTTAGTAAAAAACTAACATGATGGTACACCTGTTTACTTTCTTCTCAACGTGATTATTCTGAACAAAATCCTAAATATATATATACTAAGCAAGAACGATTTACATGTCAAGGTTTAGTAAGAATTATTTTTAACCTAGAAAAAATGATTGTGCATCTTTATATACGTCATTATAAGCTTCACTTACGCCTAACTATAAAAGAAAATATTGATAAAAAAGTGATTGAATTTATTAAAAATAATATTCATCTTACTTCAAGACAACTTTGAGAACAGCTACAATATCAATCACATACACTAACACAAAAACAAGTCCATTTCTGGTGGACTATGTTTTATCAAAAACTTTACCTTCATGATGATGATCAGTTTATTTCAACAACTTATTTGCTACAAGAAGATGAAAATTATTTATTATTATATAGTAATCAAGAAAATGGAATTTTTGAAATTGCATTTACTACTTCATTTTTATGATTATTACATAATAAATATGAAGAAATAGCCATGGATGCTACATACAAAACAAATAAAGCTGGATTTGAACTTTATGTAGTTATGGCGAATATAGAAGACGTTGGTTACCCATTGTCATATTTAATGTTAAATTCATTAACATCTATGACAAATAAACGTACTATAGCATTAACTAACTATTTATATGCATTATAAAAGCAAGGCATTAATCCTGTATTTTTTTTTACTGATAAGGACTTTTCTCATATTAATGCTATTAAAACAGTTTGGCCTTCTGTAAAAGTTCAATTATGCTTGTGGCACTTACGTTGCGCTGTTTTATGTCGATTATACAATAAGGAATGCTCTACAAAAATAGTATATAACTCAACAGAAGTACATAAAATTTTTACTTTTATTAATCCAGAATTTAAACCATCTATAGCTATACAACATTTTTGTCCACCTTTATTACATAATCAAGTACTTTCTTTAATGATAGAACATTTTAATTACCATTCGCATATTCTTTTTGGCACTTCAGGAACATTTTTACAATCATCTACGATTTATGAAAATGCAATAATGACAATGTATAACTTTTGTGTTAATAACAATTTATCACACTTATGGGCTTATCTTTGGAGAGAATAGTACCAAGCTAATCATTGGTGTATCTGGGTTCAGTCTGCTGGTTTGAATATACCTTTGGCACATACAACAATGATTGTTGAAGCCTACTGGAAATCACTTAAACATAATTTTTTATATAAATTTAATCGACCTCATTTAGATTTACTTGCTTATGTTATTACAAATCAGTTTGTATCACAATTATTAACCAAGTATAATCTTACTCTTGCTGGTCATATTGAAGCTGCAGGAAAAAAAGATTTTAAAAAATTATGGTGATTTCTAGCAACCAAAGAAACAACAAATTTAGCACAGTACTATACGGATATCCAAAAATGGATATGTAGCTGCTCCACCTATTTAATTAATAGATTTATGTTGTGTAAACATCTAATTAGTAAAGCAGGTGGTAATTCAATTAAACTTACATCTATACATTGATATACAAGATATCCATTTGTTTATATCGAGCATGTTAATACTAAACCATTAGATTCTTCAACTATTGAATTAGATATTAGTTCAAATTCTGACAATAGTCATAATTTTTCTTTTTCACATATAT